CACCTAGGGATTTCGTTTTGTGTAAGAAAAATGTAATTAGCTAACCCACCAAACATTGAAAATATTAAGGACAAAGCAATAATTTAAATTTTGTTTGAGAAACTCTAATAATGTTGGCTTGTATGTTATTGAGCCCTGAACTTTGATTTTACACTGTTTTCGATGGTTGCACCCTAACCGATACCCTAAACCATAGGGCGTGTCATGTACGAACTAGGCAAATGTAGGGTTTACCATGGGTTTCTAGCTGCATGGGTTTACTGTGTGCACCACAGTAATACACACTGTACATGTACATGTGTACATTGGGCGCTGCACTGTTCAGGCGCGACATGCACAATGGAACCAACCCGGTCTAGTATGATATACTCCTTTCATTGTTTGCGCTTGAATGAATGCATTAATGCAAGATCGACATGCCCATTGCCGGCAAACGTCATCATCTATCAGAACAGAGGGTTTATTTGTGCATGCGTTTGGTGTTAATCGACCATGATATATCCAGCAAGAAATGAGACCAAGGGGTACCCCCCTCATATCCAATCGCCACACGCACTCTAGACTGTTGTTATCTAACACACACCCCCCCAGTTGTCTAAAAAGAATTCTTCAGATTCCAGTGAAACAATAACCAACACAAAGCAGGGGGTCTCTCCGCCTCATATTTTGCTTCACAATGTACCGCGAACTGAATAAAGGTATGCCCGAATGGCTTTTCGAAACAAAGAACACTATGTGTGAACTAGGCGGGATTTCTCCGTCAAGTCGCATCAGAACTTGTCTCCGTTGCGAAAACGTGCTTAAATTGGTGATGACACGACACGTATTTGCAGCTGCTGGCAAAACACTGGGGAAGTCTTATAACGCAGCGTTACCCCGTTCTTGACAATAAAGCAGGAGAGACGAATGTCTGACATTTTTGAAACTGAAAACCGACAGGGTATTTAATATTTGTTGTTGATTCTAGTTCTACATCACGTGCCACATTAAAAAAAATCAGCAAATTCTGAAGGTTCTGTATCAACTAATTTCATAAAATGATTACACTACAAGTAAGATGACACACAGTAACGACTACATGGATATCAATATAACTAGCTTTCCCACTCGGGAAGATACATCTTGATACGGTATTTCTCAAGTTATATTTCTGGATCTGGCAAGTTCTAGTAATTATTACTAATTAGAAATCATTAGAAATTATTTTCAGATTGTCTTGCTGACATTTCATAAACCTATAAAGTGAGCAGTGATGAGAAAAGGTGTTCAGGTGAGGCAATGTCAGACAAAATGCCACCGACCATTTCAGATATACATGTATGCTGCTTTTCTTTGAACTGCAGCAATACTAGGGGGAAAAAAACCGAGAAAATGACATAATTTGTATGACTAAGACAGTGACTCTACTGCATGTAGTTTTGTTTCATTTAAATGGACACTACACTGACTAATGGACACACCTATTAGAAAAGGAAGTGACAAAGTGTCTTCCATACAAAAACCGATCAGCAGTATGTTCAGCCAGTAGGCATGTGGCAAGTATGAACATTGTGACAACACAGTATTTTCTACAAAGCAAGTCATCCGCTAGGTAAATATGATTGTCTTAACACCATTCACACACTGAAAAAAAAAGAGTTGAAAAACAAACGGGAAACTGTTGACACGAACCGGTAAATTTAGCCTCTTTTGAAGACTCCCTGTACTATAATATCCAATTTCATGCAAACCAAAAATCAGAAATTTCACGTTAGACACTTTTCAAGAAAGATATTCCACGTGCAGTACTGAAAAGCAATAAAAAAGATAGAGTACAACCCAGAAAATACAGCACTTTCCTTTCGTGCTAAGCAAAGTGTAGAATTTCACGGGCAAATGATCTTGTTCTCTCTGTGTATGTAACCCTTCCATGATTCGTAACTGAGCTATCTCTAACATTCAAAAACGCTTGCAATTAACGCATTACACTGCCAATTCCACTGATTACTAGATGGCAAAATAGTTGAGTACAATCTCACCAATATCACGACAGTTAAGGGCTAATCGTTATATCTTCTTTTTTTAAAATCACGCTACACTTTACTTGGGTAAACACTAGGATTCTAACTGTAAATTTGTAATATTTATCACTCTGGAGGCAAACGCCATGGACTACTGTGCATTCCAGGCAACAGCCAAATGAATTCTAGAGAGTTCTGAACAAAATTAATGGTGCAAGGTTTCCGAGGTCAAAGGTTATGGCCAGGGCGCCATCCATAATATCAATTTCCGCTTCACTGCTGTGAAACATATGGAAAGAGATCTATGGAATCTTTGCCGTATTTTTTTTTAATCAAAACCAGCCTTTTTGATCATGATGTTTGCATGACCACCCCCATGCAGCAGAGTACAGAGACTTGACTGAAGTACATGGAGGTTCCGCTGCAGTACTGGAGACTGCAAAAACCCACCTGGACCTTGGCTATTGTTACAAGTGCCTTTACATATTCCATGCCAGCTTTTGTTCACTACAGGCAGCCAAGCTTGGCATCATATGGGAACCACAGGTCCTTCAGCAGCCGGCTGGCTGAGCTACACATAACACGTGGCGGAACAGTGAACAAACCTGGTCGCTGCCACGCCTAGTCAAATCTCTGTGGGAAACACAAATCGCTGTTCTTTACAGTACTGTTCTATCTGGACAGTATCGTGTAATGAAAAGATAATCTCAGAGACTAAGATGTCCATTTGGATTTTCAATTTGCCCAAACTGAGCTTGAATAACTCGATGTTTATCGAACCGGACTGGATGTTTTTACAACTGCAGAGCAAACAAACTACAACAGACTACACCCCCACTTATCGTTTTATATCCGGTACCCAAACTATGCATGCAGATGTTGATTCTAGGGGCAATGATTTCCGAAGGGATAATTTCACTAAAGGTTTCATTTATAGGACATTTCGAGAAATCAATCAGGAAAATCATGGCAATTTCGACAGCTCTTTTTGTAAATTATAATTCTACACATTCGTTGCCATTAGGTACATATATGCACACTTTGCCCTTGGATAACTACACGTTTTAGCAAAATTGACAACACTTTTCCTGAAATTGTGAACGTACAAGTATTTCAAGTCCATTGAGTTGTTTAGACGAATTTTAAATGTACACACTCAGCCGCAGGTATATATATGCATAAAATTCTACTTGTTCTCTATCTATAAAGCCAATGGTTCTACACATCAGTAGTTACAATTCAGACCACTTTCAGACTTCCCTTTTTTCGTTTGATGTGTGCCACATTTCGCCACACATTTCACTTAAAATTTCAAGTCATGCAAGTTACAGTTCCAGAAAGAAGTTTGAAGTCCGTTTGTTGAGACTGTGAACAATTTGCACAGAAACCATTGGCTTTGCTACGCAAATATTTCTATTTTGGATACATAAGCACTACAGCGATGTAAACGGATACCTCTGACTTCTACTGACAGAATGCATTTCTGTTGTTCCTTCTCATCCCACACATAAAAAAGAAAACAAACAAAAAACAATAAAATGGAACTTTCCAGCTTTGGGCAAAAACATGACAGAAAATTGACAAATCTGACAGCATTACCAGAACAATCCTTTCTGTACCTTTCAACAAACAAAAAACCTTATTTGACAAGGACTTCACCCTTATGGACATGAGCTAGCCAACTGCGTATTATTCGCAATGAACCTGGGTTATAAGTTCCAGTTTATCAACTCAAAGAAACACGCAAAAAAAAGGGAAATCATGTAATCTGAGCTGATCCAAATCATTTTGACTCCATTTTCAATAATGAGAAATAAAATTGCCCAAATTCTGTTTGGCGCTACAATCATAATTTTCCCTGTCAATTTTGAACCCCTTCAGTGACCAACCATCAAATGGTACAAACACATCATAATACCTCAGAATTTGGCGTGATCAAATTCAAAACTATTATTTGAGATATGAAAATTTTAATTTCTAGGCCTAATCGTGTGTCATTGAAGGTCCTAACCACCATGCACTATCTTGCATCTGTTAATCTGCAAGTACAAGAAGTAGTCATGTGCTTGCTGTCCATTGATGATCCCTGAATAGCTTTATGATGTTGAGTCTGCAATGAATGAGTCACAGCAAGAATCTCAGTGCTGCTTTCCATGTGCAAGGGCGTGGCACGGCCAGCACCGATCCAACTAGTTGGGACTTGCGCAATATTGTTGTGCTCTGCGCATCAATCCTGCCTGTGTCGGAATGCTGCTCCTGGAAGGATCGACCAACCTCTGGACAAGGTTCTAGAGTTCCTCGATGAGATCCATTCCGAACATGGAATAGGTGGGGGAGATGGGTGTATCGTTGGGGGTCAAATGTTAAGGTCAGGCAGGTCTGTGTTAATTAATGTGTTGGTGTGGCCTGGGTGAGACGGTCTACTGCATCCCTGTATAGGCCTACATGATAGGCATCAATATCCATACAATCTGGAAGGTTCCAATTCCAATCAGGCCTAAAGCTCGACAAGTGAAACAGCATAGGCCTATGTAGCATGATGTTCATCCAATTTTTGAAACCGAACAGGGCGTTGTCACTGATGCCTGTTTTGCTGTGCCAAAAAATTGCAGCCCTAGCAGATGCTGTAGGCCTAGGCCTAGATTAATGTTAAATTCAACGGGGTTTCCTCGAAAGCCACGTTTCAAGTTATTCCGTCGTTCCTTTGGTGGTGAAACCGTAACTGAATGCATGGAGGAACAGGGTCGTTTCGGACCGGCAGGACTTAAGATGTGAACGTGGTTGAGACATCAGCGTAACGGCCTTTGGATTCAGACAGGAAACAAAACTTTGGCCGAGGCCTATTTCAAGTTTAAAAAGGGATGTTCACGCTGCATTTTTAATAGATCGTTAGGGTCACGGAGGTCTATGCTGTGTAGAACTGATTTGTTACATACATTCGTTTGTAAAGGGGTTGGAATTATGAAGAAGGGAACAAACCCTGAGAATGACGTTGTGTATCTACGATCGGGCGATGGACTCGCCAGCTCCCAGCGGGGTTGACACGCTCATTTCTTGGGCCTCCTGAACCAACGAACAGATTCCACAGCAGCAGATCATCAGCAGGTCTCCAATAAGGCCGCCTTCTATGCCTTTGTTTTCTCTCACTTTCCCGCGGGTGGTGACCAGGGCATAGATGTTTAGTAGCGGCACGAAGAGCGCCAGGCCGCACAGCAGACAGTCGTCCCCGAGCGCCTCGGCTGTCTTGCCGAAGGTGTAGCATGGCACGATGTACGTGAAGATGCACAGCCCGATGTTGTCGAAACAACCGAAGATACCGTGTTGCCACTCGCCCATTTTCACTTTCTGTCGTCTCTGCTAACTTTCCGACAAGAATTCGATGAAAAAATGTCGAACTTTTAAGACTTGGGTCTTGTGGGCAACCGCTGATCAAGATTCGGCGAGGAGATCGACAATTTTGGGCGTGGATAGTTCCTCGACAACGCGTATTTCGTGCGCACGCACACTCACACGTCTCACATTGGGCCTGTCGAATTTTTTTTTCCACTAGAAAAAAATAGCAGACGACGAAAAAAAATCCAATTGTTGCGCGCGCCACTGCACTGCGCTGCCCTCGTCGCGTCGCTGACCCATGCTAGTTAATTCAATGCAAGTCCCGCGGTTATGCGCAGGCATCAGCCAATCGTTGCCCGCGTACCTGGACAAATGGTTACATTTAACCAATCAGCACACGTTCTAGATGACGTCGATTGAATAATTATTCCTTATATGGGAATGAATGTCATTCATTCGATCCCAGCCCACCAGCTGGTTTGGGAGCTGAGGTGTGTTTGGAACTTTTCCCCCATATTATTCCCAAACTGACGTGCATCAGCCGGCCGCGAAAAATTACAACACACATTCATGTACATGTACATGTACATCTGTACTGTACGTACCTTGCCTCCATGCATTGTGGTATAACAATGCTTGCATGTCCTTGATCTCCGCTGCGGCAGAAAAAACATCTATCATCCAGCTTTTGAAAATCCGCAGCCACTGTGTCGCTGCCAATGGGGTGTGTTAGTCTCGCTATTCATGTACACGTTTGGGACCCTGTGTTTGCTTCTGTTCTGCTAATGTGCACTTTCCCACAAATGAGTGGATTTTTTTTTCAATCTGAAAAATGTTGAATTTGGTCTTGAAGCAAGTGTAGTACATGCATGTACTGTACATGAAGGCATATTTTGCATTCTAATCTTGCTAACATTCCAGGCTACATGTCCATGTCACCGCACATGTGAACCGGGCAAAAAGTTGGAACTCTAATGTACAATACACAGTAAAATATACAATAAATCATCAAGTGTGCGAAAGCAGTTACAGAGACTATGTTAAAGTGGAATTTATTGAAGTTTCTACCGAGATTTAAAAAACGGCAGAGTTTCATGCCAGCTGTGCTCAACCGCATTACAACGCTTCAAGAGGGCGCTATACAAAACAGCAAACAGTCTCGTTTCGCACAAGGACAGCAATGTATTGCGTGAAATATTCTCCCGCCGTATACTCATGGAGGTGTGTTTTGTTTTCCTCACATCATAATACCAAAACATACCAAAAAATGCAAACGATAACACCGCTATTTGTTCTGTTGCGAAGTTCAGCAAACTGTACACGGGAAAGAACAGAGAAGCAGGTTGCAAGGAAAGAAATGCTTGTCGTATGTATCAGAAAACTCACGAGAAATCCCGATCAATAAGCTTATTATTAGGTACTTTGGTACACATTTTACCATTTTGTTGCCTAGGAAACCTGAGCCAATGAAGGGCATAGATTTCTTCAGCATTCATAGGAGTTTCTCCAGAGAGAGCTTTGTTTATTTTTCATTTTTTTAATTGACCGCACAAATTATTGTCCTGGAATTTCCATCCCTCGCATCATTACTTCACCATAAAGCTTGTAAATGTTCCTCCACTTTCATTACTTTGGGTGATGACGAACCCCTATAAATCGAACTTCCAGTATCATTGAAGCGACCACCGTGAATACCTTTTTGACGCTTTGAACAACTTAACTATATAGACTCTTTTTTAAAAGTAATTTGCTTGCCTCGTTTAGAGGTACCAACTGTTTATACCATTTTTTTGTCCGCTCTTTCCTGTGTTTTTTTTCTTCCTTTCAGGTGCCTTTTTAAATGGCATTTATAGTTGGCTTCTTGTGATTTCAGTGTGTGATTTCTGTCTAATTTTAATAACTTATTTTTTAAAATCTGTCTGTGTAGAACGCAGGTGAACATATTCATTAAATTATGCTCAATACAAATATCAAATAATTATAAAATATTTTATTTAATTACTGTGAGTTGAGAGCAAGCGATTTAGAATAAAGGATGGATTGAGTATGACCCTGAATTTCCATTTTTTTTCATAAAATCGAACATATTGGCGGGTAATTCGTTTTTTTTCAGTGTTGCTTCAGACCTTAACGAGTCCGAGTTGATGTATACATGATGTAGCGCGTGGATTCGTGAGTTACATTACAAAAGACATTGGAAAAGTCACGCTGCACAGAATGTGTGAATACGGTGAAATAAGTGTTAACTTTGCGCAAGAAATCATTTGAAAAAAAGTCACGGCTGGGCACTTGATAAATGAAGAGTCCAATGGGAAAGAGTTTCGTACACCACGGAGGTAGGAAACCCGGTCCATACATCATGACAACACTTCATGCGCCAGTGTACAAACCTATGAGTCTTGTCTGAAAAAAAACAAACGAATGTTTTCAAAGTGCTTCGGAAGTTTCTCAGCTAAAGTTCACTTTTTGGAACACTTTATAATTTTCTGACAGTTGTTATAATAGTTTAAGGTAAAATTAGTGTTGAGGCGACGTGGAAATCGGGCGAAAGTGACTCTGAAGCGTTCGTATGCGGAACTCTGCGGCAATCTTCTGCACTAGTGCTAGCGTCACCTCCGGCTCAAAGTCTGTGCGGTGCTTCAGTGAAATAGCGCCCTCTTCTGACACTCACTAGCCTCTAAGTTATTCAGATATTCTTGTGATTTACTTCGAAGTTCTATCGACATTCTTGGTCCTCAAAGTTTATTCAAGTAAGGTTTTTTGTAGAGTAGATAATAAAGCCCACGTCCAAGGTATACTTGAACTTTGAAGTTGAAGATATGGGCATGATGGATATGGATGAATAAGTTAGAATGCCATTTTTTGGTCGCTGATTTGGCCATGGTATTGGCAGAGGTCGTGTTTCAGATGTACTGATGATATAGGCCCGTGCCCTAGGAGCGTTACCCTTGAAATGTTTGTTGTAATTAAGGTGACACCCCGAACCCGACCCCCATATCTTGCATCATCCTTTCTGAGAGTTAAGTTGTGCCCTTTGGTCTTAGCTGGGCAGCCCTCTTACATTGTATGCAAATGATAGCCAGGACACTTGGGCCAAGTCCCCCTACCATGCCTTTTCCAAGTAGCCACGAATGCACCCAGTTTGCAGGCCGGCAGTGAAGTAAGCACATTTATGTTTTCCTTGCTCCTTCTGTATCCGCAAATTCTGCCCTGAAAATCTGGTCTGCTGTAGACTTGGTAAGTTGTTGCTGAACTTTCTTGTTTTGTGCGGTTATAAGTTTTTGGCTTTTATGTATGGCCATGTACTTTCATGATTTTGTAGACAGACTCAAGAGAGAAGTGTCTAGATTTGAGCAGACGGCTTCTTCATCTCTTAATATGAACTTTAGTTTCAAATAAGTCTTTGGAAAAATCCAAGTTTGTGTCATTTCAGAGTACTGGCTGGATTTATAAGATGAAACGACACGCGCACATGACAAATTATTCTACTTCTTGTGTTAAACTTGTCCAAGGCGTGACTGTTTCCTTCGTTGATCCTGCCTCCATGATTGGTCGTAGATAGAGGGCTAGTCTTGTCTAGCCTTGGTGGACAAGAACTGTGTCAGGTCAGCTCGAATGAATCTAGAACCCATTGATTGCGGGGAGGCGAGTCTTTGCAACATTTTACATTCTTGTTCTTACTCAAGCACATGAAGTGAAAAACAATCTTGCCGGAACTAGAGCTAGGTGGGCCAGGAAGGTCACTTGCTTTATTCTTTGGCCTTATATCCTCACTGAATTTTCGTGAATTTTTTTGGCTGTAGTTTGCAATGGCAGAGACCGCAACTTTAGAAGCCTATGTTGCTGATGGAGATTTAGATGGGAATTGGACGATCTCCTGGAATTCGACAACTCCATCCATGGACCAACCCCCACCCAAATACATTGAGGTATGGGACGAGATATATCTTTAGTTTTGTTGATCATTCTTACAGGGACTTGTACAAGTCTATTTGGGTCATGCATCGTTTATATGCATGTATATGGGCCTTCGGTCCCTTTGACACAATTGTATTTGCTTTGCTAATGGAGCAGGTAACAGTTGCTTGACCTCAGACGAGGTCACAACCAGTTGGAAAACAACTTCCTTACTAACAATTAGTGTTCACAGAGTAGATTTTTGTTTGTTTTGGCAGGACCTGAAGCAAGCCAATAAGGTGATCATCACGGCCTTGTTAGCGGCCATCATGGTTGCCATGGGTTGCATAGTCACCTTGGATGACTTCAAGAGAGTGGTAAGCCATGTCCAGTTCAGGCGGGTGCTAGACCCATAAACAGGACCCTACATAGAGGGTACATGTATACTCCATTGATTTACTTGGCCCTGTACCGATTGACAGTGATTTCTTTTGATCAAATTTAACTGGGATGTCCGGGGATATTATCAGACATCTGTTGGATCTTATGAGCTGAAATTGCGCCGATATGTTCATTACTTACTGGGCTAACTATCCGTAGTTTGCTATTTGCAGAAAACTCGCCTTTTCCTCCTTCGGAGGAAAAACTGTTGCCTTCAGTTGGTGTTTCCCCCACTCCAAACGAATTGAATTTGTCCGGAGTGGGGATAATGCCAACTCCTCCAAACAAGGACAGGGCGAGTTTTCTGCAAACAGCAACCAGGGGGACATGGAAGACTTGTGCCTCAGAACAATTTTGCTTTGCGTGTCTTTTACCCTTAGCTGCGCCGCCCCGTCGGTGTCATCATCGGGTTTCTCTCCCAGTTCGTGGTCCTCCCCCTGACGGCGTTTGGTCTGGCCCACGCCCTGCAGCTCAAGGCAGGCTACGCACTGGGACTCTTGGTCACAGCCACTTGTCCCGGGGGTGTCACCTCCAATCTATACACGTATTGGTCAGACGGCGATGTGTGCCTCAGGTGAAGAGTGGTTCAGATTTGTAGACAGAGGGAGGGTGTATTTTATTAAATCGTCATGAAAAAATATTGTGCCTCTCCTGATTTGCATCCGTGTTCCTTTTTGTCTAGAGATGTGATGTGTTGAATGTCTATTCTACTCGGAGGTATCCAGGTCTTGGGTCCGGGGGGCAAGGTTTTGTTTTTCTAAAATTCACCGCCCAAGTTGTTTGTCCACAAAAGAATCCTCACTCACTCCCTGCAAGAAAGGAGTCTTGCCATTTCTTAGCTGTCTCGAAAATGCTGGCACTTCCAATTAAAACAAAAACAGAAAATGAAATTAGCAACATGTCATTGGAATGGACTTGATCTCTGCTTTGATTGGTTTGTGTCTTTAACGGAATATGAAAAAAAAACATACACCGACAATATTCAGAATGTGTTTTCTCAATATGCCAGCATCACCATGACAACCCTGTCCACAACCGTCGCCATGGGGATGATGCCACTCAACCTCTTCATCTACAGTCGGTCCTGGACCAGCGAGAGCGCCGTGATCCCATACGGCAACATCGCCATCGCCTTGGCTCTCATCCTCGTGCCCGTGGCAATGGGCATGTTCATCAAGTACAAGAAGCCATCCTGGTGTAAACTGATCACGCGAGTAAAGACCTTCCAAAGTTATTTGTCGTCACACGTTGCGCCGTGAAACAAATGACCGAAACAATTTTGTGGTCAAAATACCATCAATTGAGTTGTAGCTCACCGACATGAGACAAATCGTTTCCTCACTGTTGGCACATCGAATCGGAATACAGAGAGAAAGTTTCCTTTCCAGGGGTTACTTACTGGAGGCCATGCTAGAAATAAAGTAACCACTGGGGACGAGGTTGAGCTGCTGAATTTAAGTCGCAGTTACAAACCCTGATCTTCAGGGTCACACGCTTTCTTAGACTGACATCACTCTTATCTCTTGTTTTTTACCAGCTGGGCAGCATCTTTGGACTGTTGGCCATCTTCATCAACATCATCCTAAACGGCATCATCAACCCCTCCATGTTCACCTCCCCCTGGCAGGTCTGGTTCGCCACCTTCATCCTGCCCTTCCTCGGCTACGTCTTCGGTTACCTCTTTGCCCTGGCCCTGCGCCGCCCCCACGCCGAGTGCCGCACCATCAGCTTCGAGACGGGCGCCCAGAACATCGGCCTGGCGCTGGCCCTCCTCCTGGTCACCTTCGAGGACAGTGAGCTCCTGGCAGACATGTTCGTCATCCCGTCCCTCTTCGGGCCCTTCTTGCTCTTCAACGCCATGGTGCTGGTGGGGCTGTACCTGGCGTGGAAGAGATGGTGCGGCAGTATCGACAAAGCCGAAGGGGCCGAGGACCATCGGGAGGAGGCTGTACAAATGAGCAGAATGGAAGAATCTGAGACCAGTGAAAAAGACAAGGAAGCCAGCCCAAGAGAAGTGCACCTTGTCGAGTCGCCCCGAGTCTTTTGATGATGTTTTCTCCAAGTGCCTAATCAGTATGTTCAACACAGAAGCCTAAACAACAAGAACTAGCCTTGTCTATCCTAATGACAGCAACGGCAATATTCATGCAATTTCTTTCTTTTTATTAAAAGTGTTTGGGTCAGAATTTCAAACTAAGCGGTGGAGATCTGCCGCCGTTGTTCGTCTTGACTGTAGCCTGAGGTGGAAAGGTCATCGGTCAAAGGACTCCTTAACAGATATGTACTATAAACTAGTTGCTTTGAAATTGCACATTCCTGAAATAAGTCACCAACCCTAACATCCTCAGTCTTCCAGGGTCCTCCCAAACTTCTTAGATTTTACCCAGAATTGGCAGTGATGAGATCATTTGTACATTTTGCAAGGGGGGATAAAATTGAATGAAGACCAACATTTTTTGGTGACTTTTTATGCAAATAATACAAATTTTAATGTTTTGTAAGTTTATTTTTTTATGAAATGAAATGAGGAAAAAAAATAATCAAATTTATTAGATCAACCATTGGCAGAAGTTATCGTGTAAAGTACTTGTACATGTATATAAATATTGTTCCACTGAGAGAGTTTGAGGTGTGATTTCATTTCTAGCTGAAATCTTGATTTACTGTCACAGAAAATCGACTGCTTATTCATATCCATTCTGACATGCTGTGAACTGGATAAGAATCTTCAGTTGTTGATCCTAGAGGCTTTTCAACAAAGAGGATTATAGCACGACCATTTGGCTGAAATGAAAGTCCTGATACCACCTTTGTACAGTCCAATGGAGATTTCATGTACACTCTGTAAGGGAACTGGTGCCCAGATTGCACGGTACCAGTCACTTGTGCTAACGACACTGCGTGGGCAGATCCAGAACCAAAATATTTTTTTGGGGTGGAATTTTTTCAGGGGGGAGGCTAAAATTTGGGAATGAAGTAACCTTTGACCTTTCCAAAGGTTGCAGCCACATATGAATGCTTTTTACACACGTTTTGAAGGAGTGGAAATGTAATGTAGAGACTTTGCGTGGTAGCCATCTTGCAGGGCACTGCTTTTGTTCCACAGGGAAACGTCCATTGCGCATGCCATTTTGAACAAAACGGTCCTGTATGGTCTAGAAAATTGCCTTCCATATTTCAAAAACAACACAGAAAATTAGCTCTTTACCTTGGGGAGCAGGATGTCTCCCACCCCCCCACAGATTACCGTCGCACCACATTCATATTCATATTTTGAAAATCTCTTTCCTGCAATGCAGAGAAGTTGTTATTAATTTAAGGGCATGTTTTTTAAGGCAGGTTATTGACAGTTATAATTCATCAATACGAAAGAGAATCTCTCTATTCCTGTCGGTCTCGAAACGCGTTACACGACCGTGTCTTGACATTTGATTATGCCCGCTCAATGTGACAATTTCCAATGCATAAAGCACGCGCTGGCACCTAGATACGAGACAGCCAAATTGATTCTGATTGGTCAAGAGTCTGTGTGCACGCAGAACTTGCCACGCGCGTGCCAAGTCCATATAAGGAGATTCTTCTGGACTACTTGCACAAGGAATGTACCATGTATTAACCGACCAAGCACATATTTATTCCCTAATTTAACCCGTCCACGAGCTGACCATACTGAAATAATACTTCTACCAAGCTACTTATCTCAGTACATTGTGTGGGTGGCTTTTTAATATGCGCAATGTAAGGATGGTTGCCCATACGTAAGTGTCGTGAAAGCTGCTTCACAGTACATGTATTAAACTTTACAGTACACCCTAGTAAACTGAACATTGTTTATGCTTTCTGTATTGTTTATATTGATAGCTAATTGAGGACCTACTAAGTAAAAAGTACTTACTTTTATATTTTGAAATGGGTGTCATTGGGAGACGAAAAGAGAGCGAAGGTGTTTTCCTCTCCTGTGAAAATCTAAAATTGCTTGAAAAATTCCTCGGAAGTAACCCTTCCACTGTTTGTGATTTACCACTTTGATGCTGACAAGTGTTCCCCCTGCCTCAAGGGCAATTATATTCTCTGACAACTATAGGTATTAAATTACTTGTGAATATTTTATATGGATATCTTTTTCATACCGAGAGATTTCTCAGCTTTTTAGCTGATTTCAGCGTTTATTTGTTTTGGATTTCAGCTTTTTTTCCTGACTGGCTTTGTACAAAGTATAGGAGATTTTCACAGTTCAGTTTTTTATGCCTTTTGCAGCTGTTTTCAGCTATTTTTATCATTGGTCAATCTCACCCCTGTAAACCTTGCTTGTGCATAAATTGATAAAGCAGATCGCCCGATTGTGTTTTCCCTTTTCATAGCTACGTTCTATTCCATACATTTGCCAACTCAAGTAAAATATATGCCTTATGAGAGCAAACATATTTTATATTTGAATTATATATTTGGTAACCAAGTAATAAATGATTAATTGCATTGATGAGAATTTGTAACAAATGACCTTATACTCGGTAAGAATGTGATTTTACCAAGGGGAAATAATTTTCTATTTGATGCAAGTCACCATTATTAATATCATCATTGAATAAACAACCATTATTTAAATTTGTGACTTTTTATTCCACTTTTTACTTTTTTTAAGCTAACGAGCTTTGATCATACTGCCTCTCATCAGCTGTGATATTGCTGAAAAACTAGAGCTACTTGATAAATGTGAGATATTCTCACAAAATGAGACAGAATTTGGCAGAGATGGAAATGGATGGGAGTGCGGGTTATTGTTGGTGATGGAGGGGGTTCAAGTCCCCTTGCCAGTACATGAAGTTGAAGTTTTGTACTCTTGAAAATGAAGGATTGGTTTCATTACAATACAAAACAAAAACTTGTACTCTGCGTTTCTCACCATTTTATAGTCAAAACTGTTTTGTAAACATAAGATTTGTGAGGCCAGATCTTCAAAAAAATTCAGTGCGTTTGTATTTTGGCTGGACTCCCACCTGTGCCTGGTTTTAGTTGCCAGAACGTCTCCCAAAATACGTTTGGCTGAATATTATCCCAGAATGGACATTCTTGTCATTTTTTTACCTTGCTGATGACTATGTTGCATTTACTAAAAATACAAATATATCTTCCGCAGCAGCGTATCCAGCTTTTGGTGCCAGAGGGCACAAATTCAAATGTGAATGCGGCTTTGGACTCATTCAACATGATGTTGTTGTCTGAGGGTTTTGTGCTAATAATTGATAAATAAATATACCTATTTATTTTCCTATTCACCTATTTTTATTTTTTTATTTGATTTCATTTTTTCTTTACCCTGGGGAGACTGTCAGTGTCAAAGCACTGTTTTCCTTAGGTGCCCAGCAATTACAATCATTACAAATTGATTCCTATTAGTTATGAATTACTCGCCAAATAATTAAAAGTCCAATAGTACACAGGGGAGAGATTTCTCAGCTTTTTAGCTGATTTCAGCTTTTTTTCCCTCGCTGGCTGTGTACAAAAGTACAGGAGATTTTCACAGTTCAGCTTCTTTATGCCTTTTTTCAGCTGTTTTCAGCTATTTTTACCATTGCTTAATCTCGCGCACTAAACAGAAAATACAAAATATATGAGGTACAGGTAAGAAAACAGAGAAGTTAGCACCGGAAACTAACATCAAAACAAAACTTCAAAAACAACAAAAACGAGGCTCACGGAGTAGAGCATGTTCCAAAGTGAGTTTTTAAATTGACTACTGATGTAGGGAGAGGACACTTCAATGGTGTTGGGAGAGCATTAAATGCATGGGTTCCCACGAACCACAAATTTACGCTCACCAGATTTAGTTTTAGTAAATGGAACAAGGTCACCATGAGAAACGGCCCTTGTATTACATGTATGCACATTGGCAACATGGATGAAGCAGTTGCATAATTGTGATGAAAAAGTCAGTGTGAGACTTACAAACTAATGTGATCAAATGAAAGGTACGTCTTCCTTCACCTATGATGTATTATAAGTAAACAAATAATAATCCGCCTTGGGCAAAATATTGAATGAAGAGATTAATTTTCATCGTTTGTTGTCATCTCAAATTATGAATGAAGGAAACCTGAATATTATATAATCTATGATTGATGAAAAATAATACCTTTAAATCTCTGACCTCATAAAACTTCAACCTGATTCTCCATGGTTACGCTGGCATTATTATAAAGTAACAGGAATGGCTAATGCCGCATCAAACAAGATTCTATGTGATTACACTCAACTTCAACTTCAGGGCTACTTACTTTGCAGTTTTAGCCTGAATTTCCTTGATAGTAATAAACTTGGGGGAAAATAATGAACACAATCATTCCTCCATTTCTTCCCTTTTCATTATGTTCCCTCCTATCTATTTGTTGAGGCTGGTTTGCCATTTTTATTCAGTGTGATTGTAATTTTCCATCTCACACCGGTCCTTTCCGGGTTCTTCTGATTGCTGGGCTAATGGGGATCCGTGGTGGTCCTGGGCCCCACTGACACCCCTGCACCACCGTTTCCAGGCCAGGTAAAGCCCAGTCAGCCACAGGCTGTGCAGGGCGAGTACACCTCTGTAGACGTTGGGGATGACGAGAAGGTTGTTGAGCTGGTCACTGCCTTGGAAAGTGACCAAGAGGAGGACCAGCGCCAGGCCAATGTTCTGGGTGCCCGTCTCGATGGAGATGGTGCGGCACTCGGCGTGGGGGCGGCGTAGGGCCAGGGCAAAGAAGTAACCCAAGGCGTAGCCGAGGAGGGGTTGGATCGCACCAGCAAACCAGACCTGCCAGGGGGAGGCGAACATAGAGGGGTCGATGATGCCGCCAGAGGAGATGGTGAAGAAGATTGCCAGAAATCCAAAGATGCTGCCAAGCTAGGTACAACAATGGAAAGGACAAACAGATGGCAGCGTGAAAAAGAGAAGTTAGAGTCAGACAGATGAAGTGCAGGGATGGGGAACTTTAAAAAAAAAACAAGAAAAAAATACTTCTGAGGAATCATTCTAAATTGTTTCCTGAAAAGAATTGCATTCATTTTTGGTTTATTCTTTGTGTCTGTGAGAGTGAGGGGGGGTGCACAATAAAAACAAGAAACCATACCCAAGCTAGACGTGACAATTTGTGTGTTTATGGTTTTGATTGGGTAGGGTTGAGTTGGGTATGTGTGGGTTGGGTGGGGTTGGATCAAGTTCTGGTCAGGTTGAACTGGTCTAGTTTGGATTTGGCTGAGTTAGTTTTGGGTTGGCTTAGGTTGTTTGAGTTTAGTCGGATTGGAGGAGTTGCGTCTGGTTGGTTTAGTTTTGCTTTTTTTTTTCCTATTTGGAGGGGTGGGTTAGTTTTTACCAGGGTGATGATCTTGCACCAGGATGGTTTCCGATATTTGATAAGCATGCCAGCAGCCACTGGGACCAATGTTAGAGCTAAAGCAATAGCGATGTTACTGTATGGGATCACAACGCTCTCGCTGGTCCAAGACCGACCGTAAAGGAAGAGGTTCAGAGGCATCATCCCCATGGCAGCAACTGTCGACAGGGTCGTCATGGTGATGCTATCAGTAAAAGAAATCTAGCTTTTTAAATTGCTGTTTGACACAGCATCAGGAGTGGGACAAAATTACTTACAGAAGCCACAGCTCCATGTGAGTTGTGACTTGCAGCGGTGTATAAGTAAAACAACAATTTTTGTTGTCAAAATTTCTGAAGCTTGGGACGGGGTTGGACACTGAAAATCGGTTGAAAGTGCCACTTGCCAATGCTACAAAACAAAACAAATTATTACATCACTGGATATGTTTGCTTTTCAACAAGCCAAAATATCTGATACTTTTGGAAGCATGCAGAGGTTTTTCCCCCTGCCCGGACCACCACTTTATTTTCATTTGTTCGTCTCTTTGTGCTAGTCCACCTTTAATATTTGACTTACCTGAGGCACACATCGCCGTCCATCCAGTAAGCAAACAAATTGGAGGTGACACCCCCAGGACAAGTGGCAGAGACCAAGAGTCCCAGTGCATAGGCTGCATTGAGCTTCAAGGCGTGGGCCAGACCAAACGCCGTCAGAGGGAGGACCACGAACTGGGAGAGAAACCCGATGATGACGCCAACTGGGCGGCGCAGCTGGAAGCAGAAATACATTCAAGGGTGGACTGAACACTGGACCAAGATATGGGATTCCAGCGGAGAGCCAGTTAAAGGCAAAGGGTGACAGGATTAGTTTTGGTACTGATGTTCACACTTTTTTTCTGAAGCTGACTAAAACAAGTTTCTCATCCACACTTTTTTTTTTTTTTTAAAAAGGGGGCTGGGCAGCTCCTCTTTTTTTTTTAATTAGGTCTTTCTTTTGATGTTCAGATGTGAACCTCTCAGGATCAAGTGACTGTTTATTTGTTCACTGTTTGTTTGTTCACTGTTTGTTTGTTACTCACCGTGCTCTTGAAGTCATCCACAGTGACCACACAGCCCACAGCCAACATGATCACAACCACCAGAAAAATGACGATCACTTTGTTGGCTTCCCGGAGAGCCTATTTTGAAAAACAAGGGGATTTTTCATCCTCTTACATCTTTGAAAACATGACATTTAAGTAATGCCCGAGAAAGAAGCTCCACTCAGACAAAAATTGTGTCCATAGATCAAGGGCAACAGAAACATACCAACACTTTGTTAGGTGGGTGATTTTCAAATTTTCTTTGGATAGTAAGGTATGTTGTTCCTAAAGCAACGCCCATTAATGTGGTGTTAATATACCTAACTCGTTGCCTGCAAGACAAGTGTTGCGAAGTTTTTGAAAAGCCATCTTTAAAAAAAAAATTTAAAAATGGTAGTCACTGAAAGGTACTGATGCCTCAGTGTATATATCGGGTTTTGCCCTTACCCAACGTATATATTAATAAACACTGTATGCTCAGTGCTTGTCCGAGAGCTTGCGAAAAAAGACACAAACTTACTCGGGTGGGACTCAAGAAGAAACCCGCTATATAAATTAACATCCCCAATGCAAAAATACATCTTGAAAATAGTCTGCGCTACCCGCTGCTTCACCTGACTCGGACCGGCCAGCCGACCCCGGCAAGCTCGGTGGTCGAGTGGTTAAGACGTCAGCACTAATAAGCGGGTCGTGGGTTCAAGTCCCACCTGAGGAAGCTTGTGTCTTTTTTCGCAAGCTCTAGGACAAGCACTGAGCATACAGTGCTTATTAATATATATGCTGGGTAAGGGCAAAACCTGTTAAATAAATATACATCCCCAACGCAAAACTTACGTCTCGAAAAAAAAGATGCCTGAGTTGTTAACAACTTGGCATCTATGAACATGGTTTTCTACATTAGTTATACTTTGCATCTGGACCACTCTACCAGTGGTGAATCTGGGGTACACTTTGCAGGGGGGACTTGAGGGGCCTCATTTTCTGGAGGTGGGTATTCAATTGTTTTGATCACAGTTAAAACAATGACCCAGATTTTCTTTAATCTCTGAGTGGGTTACCCCCCCCCGAACCTGATTAAGGGAATGTTTATTAATACAGACCCAGATTTGATCGAGCAGTGTCCAGCCATGAGACCCCTCTATCAGCAAAGCTTAACATTGGTCAACACATACCTGGGCGTATTTGGGCAAGCCTTCTTCTGGGGATGCATCAGTCATGTTTGCCTCTGCCATCCAGCTGTCGTTCCCGTCTTTCCCGGGAAGAGAATGCAAGATGTTCACAGGCCCGGTTGCGGCAGCCATCACAACAGTATTTGTTGGTCAAAAGAACAGACGGCAAGCAAGCGGTCAACGTCCAATTGCAAAATACAAGCGTTCCGAAGCCAGTTGCTGCAACTTGAAGGCGAATATTCTAACTCTGCCATGTTATTCACTAGGTTTGGTGATTAAAGTTAATCTATGTAAAACTTTGCCGGCCTGAGAATTATGAATATGCAGAGTGGCATGAATATGTTTCGCATTAATTAACATTAACAAATTGACATTAGCATTTATAATGAGGACAGAAGGATGGTGTATGGTGATCAAATGTAGATGCCTACTCCAGAGTTCAGGGGAGGCAAGACTTTCATCCCAAGAACAGAACTGGAACTCAGAAATGGATCGGATCGGACCGGACTATAGTGTTCTTCTAGTATTAAATGGAACAGCCACCAAATGCCAACATAAAGAGTTTACACTACACCGTTGGGTCCCATTAGAGCCCACATTCTCCTGAATCTCGAGTTGGGTTTACGCACATGTAAGTGATCAAATGCACCACACAACATGAAATATCACAAAAACATTCAACCTACTCATCATTACCACTAGTGAGCCTTCAAAGAAAGTGAGATACACCGACCACAATCATAAATACTTCACCAGACATGTTTTATTCCCTTTCGTCCACCATTTCTAACAACGTTGAGGCAAAGTAATAAACTTAAGTAAGACTGCCAAATCATAGAATATGAACCCTCCGAAAAAAAAACCTGCCATTGTGCAGGGACCAAGGCAAAACACCCATGACGGTTTGAAATTAATATTTGCCAACAGGACAAATGAGTGAGGTATACAAAAACCGTGCAAGTCTTTGGTAGGAATTTGCCTATTGTGTACATTTGAACTGCATGTTTACAATCAGAACGCAATCCCAAGGCATCGTCCCAAAATATGAGAGACAAAAACAAAGGAACCCCCCCAAAGTAGTGTGAAGCTAACCTCGACTCCATGGGCTACGTGCGCGTTCCTTCACTGGCCTCCGGGCATGTTGAATACCAAAATGACGCTGACTGGCTATTCAAGATGAATATACAGAAATGTCAAGTCAATCGCGAGCGTCTTTGAAAAGCTAGAGGCTCCCGCCCGCATATTCTCCTGCACGTCACGCACGCGTAACTATGCGTCACGCACAAACGCATTGATTGCAGTGCTCATTTAAATATCCCAAATATCGGGATATTTAAATTATCCAATACCAGGGGTTAGATCGTGCAAGGCAAGTGGGAACCAACATGGCGCGGCGAGGTCGTATCCATGGGAACGAGGTTGGTATCAAGCCTCCACTTTGCGGCTATCCCTGTTACGCTCACTGGGCAGAAAATGGCATTAAACCAGTAGTTTGGGAAATATCAACGTAATAAGTTGTGCACGTTCTGAACAACTTAAATACTTCACCCACGGATTATCAATAGACAGGAGCAGTATACCGCCATCTCTCTGACCAACAAGGCTGACAATAACTTTAAATCCAGTTTAAATAATACTGACAAAAATAAAACAGATGACTGTAGAATAGCACATTTCTGATTGGATGCCTAGAGCTGTTGCTATGGCTACTGATCTATGCTATGCTATGACATACTTTAAAAAAACTGGACAGCTTAAGTTGTGAAACCAAACAAATTTGTTAAAGATGCCCAACTTTTGACCAGGTCCAAAAGAGACACAATTTTTGGTTTGGGTATACAATGTATTAAATTCCTCTCCCAAGTACGACCAGCGGAGATTTGAATTCCAAACATTCAACCACAAGACTTTATGCACATTTATTTCAGTTAAATGCAAGTTCACCTTCCAAAAGAAAAAAAAAACAAACAAACAAAAAAAATCTGGTCTTCCTCCAGTCTGAACTGACCAATGTTAACCCGTTAATTTTGGACCTTTTAAATGCTCAGCCAAATTTATACATTCTTGTTTTCCATTAAGTATTCCCAGCATTTTTATTACCAGGAGGATATAACAAATTATGCTGAATAAAGGTAAGGGTTTGATACACACAAAGCACAACTTATAATTGATTTATCATATACTTCAAATACCAGAAACAAAAACTAGAAATACAGAATGGTTGATTTCTCAATTTACTATTTCACGGTGAAGGTGGCGAGTTAAGTGAAGAGGCTTACAGTTGGACCATGCAAGGATCTCTCTTTATGAGTATGTGTGGTGCTGTAAAGAACCGGACGGTACTCATTCTTTTCAGAATCACGCCGACTCAAAAAGAGATCTCACTGCACGGCGCTACTGTAAGTCTCTTTACCTTAGCAAAAAGTATTCCTGAAGATAAATTTTTTTCAGTCTTGCCACTTCGTGTATGCGGTTATTTCAATGCTTTGGAGAGTATGCGCTTGGCTTCAAGCAATTCAATAATAAACACTGGCATCAGCCCACTGTTTGACATAGAGGCAAAGAAAAGAAATAACAGGGACAGCGGATTCAAGACATGGGGAGAAGTGGTGTCAAGACGATCCCCGTTATCATCGATTGGATTTATGCGTCTGGCTGCGAAAGTGCAACCGTAAGTTGGTTTTTTTTTTTTTACATAATGCCACATACAGTTCTGAGGATGTTTCTATAAAAGTGAAACACAGGAATTTTTTGTTTAACGTGGGGGCACAGTGTGGGGGCCAGTGGTGAAAAATGAGCAAAACAGGTATTTTAATTGTGTTTGTCAAAGGGGAGGGACAGCGTGGATGGATATCTTTCTTTTTTTTCTCTTCCATTTTCCTCTTCCTTTTTTTGGTGTACGGCATCTTAACTTTCACAGCCAATAAAAACCGATTGTCGATCAAAATTTGTGCCTTTACTTTTTAATCTCTATACTACCAAAAGAGCTACTTCAACTGACAGAGATCCTCCCTCAAAACGTCCAGACATAATCTCCTGAGCTTTTGATGAAGTAACAGGTGACATACTAAAGAGGTAGGAACGATTAAAAAACAACCAAGAAAGAACTGAAATACACTTGGGAACTACGAGAAAGACACAGATAAAATCTACAAGGGCGGTGGGAAATCAGTAACGGAGCCAGGGGTGAGATCGGAGGGCCGTTTAATATCCACTTAATGATCAAAAGAGGTTTCTTACTTCTCTGTATGTATATCCAACAGCGCATTCAGCGCCAATTACAGGATGAAGTGATGATTAAGAAAGCAATCAAGAACTGTTCACTTTTAGAGGTGGTAGGAAACCCCCCGGGTAAAATTCCAGGGAAAACCCACCGAGTTGGGCAGGGACTGAAAAACCCAATCCGCATGCTGACCTGGGTGGGATTCAAACCCGGGTCGCAGAGGTGGAAGGTGAGAAAAGAACCACGACACCAACCTGACTTTTGAGGGGCCCCTACGGCAACATAGGGGCTTGTTCGTTCTTCTGGTTTCATTTCTTGTTCATCACATCCATTTTTATACAAAGAAATACCTTCACGGTAATCTCAGGATTTGCCAGATTTTGACAATCCTGGTGGAAAAAATCCTGACAAATCTCACCCCTGCAGAGCTTGAACAAAAACCGGCAAAAGAACAAACAAGCAAAGCGGCTTCAGTACCACAGAGCTCGCACAGGTTCCACCACTGAGCCGTGTATACACCGCTACTCTATATACGATATTAGAGCACCAATGCTGGACAAATACTGCTAAATGTTGACTGCAATCAGTTAACAACCGCGTGTTTGATGAAAGTCCTAAAAATGTGATTACCTGTTAACACTTACCACTAATCTCATTTTTCCCAAAGATGATGCAATTTATGCTACTTCCTCCCCTAAACACATCCCTTTTTAATAATTAAGTTGTCAAACTAAAGAATGGAGAATTAGGTACATTCACATACAGAACAATGGACAAATCTGGGTTCAGTACTTTGGGTTGCTCGACAAATCTCGAGAAGGGTAAAATTACCCACAATACATTACTCGCTGCTCTATCTGACAAGACATGGTAAAAAAAAAGAAATAACAATTGCTCTCAAACCGACCAAATTATCTTGAAAGTGGGCCTACAAGGACCATTAGATAAAACGATGACTGTTGCCATGGCAACAAACCTACGCTACCAACTACTATCTGCTGTCAAGCAACTCTGTCACGACAGATCGCTAACAGGGACCCATATGACCCGAACTCGCCTTCATAATCGCGCGAAGATCTTGCGTTAATTCTCAAAGACGTTAAACCAAAGACATGTACTTAAATCAACACATTCTAAAAACCATCCCTTTATTACTTTTTTTTTATAATTATCACAACTTCTAAAATCTATAGCCTTAAAATCTCCTGGTTCATACAAACAATAAAACAATGAACAACTTTTTTGGAGGTGATTAAGAATAACTTACGTTCAGCTTTTTTTGTTGTTGATTATATTCATACTAATCCTTTCTGATACAATTTTTTTTGCACACGTTAATTTACATATACCGAATGTACATTTACAGAGTTCACAACCTATGGTACATCTGCATACATAGAGTGTCTTCCAAAAACAAAGTTATCATACAATCACAAGATTAAAACCATTAAAAATCCCCTACTGCGTAGCCCGCTACGGCAGTCTATTGATTCGACAAACACCTGGGTGACCAACACAGCCTTGTACACTATGTACATGTACACGGTGGTAGGGCCCATTGATTCCGACCAGCGACAACGGAACTGGGTGCGGTAAAACTGTGGGCCACGATAGGTTTCTGCAGGGCTGATGTCACTGACGGCACGTGAATATAAACTGTGGTAGGACGATTAAAAGCACTGTATTCAGTAGCAACACTGTTGCACGTGAACTGCACATTATGATCAATCAGCAGTCTTGGTGATGATTACATCATGCCTTTGCATTTTACAAACGGGGGGGGGGGCACTGTTATTGTGGAAAGATGTCATGGTGGAAGAGAATGAGTTTTTCTGCTGTGTGACTTGATGCCCAACATCGCCCTGCATGCCAGCTTCCGTTACCGATCGCCAACGGACCCACCTGCACGCGAGACAGAAGTGCGCGCACAGCAGCCATTTTGGAGGGCATGAATAATGCAAATAAGAAAAGACAACTCCAAGATGTCTGCTATGGGGAAAGGTCTCCACTGTCACCAAGAATTTGGCGAGATATAAATTAAAACCAACAAAGCAAACAAGAATTACATGCATACACACGCGCACACACACCCACACACAAAACCAAAATGACTCTGATAATATGCACGCTGATTAAAAGTCTAGCAAACCCGCTGTTAACGTACGCATTTTCTCATAAACAATCATGTACACACATTTGTATACATGTGAAAGCTCTGTTCTTCGGCGTCTTTGAATTCTCATATATTACAACGTAAAAACAATAAATTAAAAGAGGCAAATGAAAACAACAATATTATATGGAAAGAGGGGGTCGTGTTGTCGCATAAAGGTTGAAAATCTGTTCCATGCCATGGGCCCAAGTGAACAATTTGTCAACCCAAACAAATCTCAGACAATGTTTTTCTCGGAGCAGATAAACAAAACGCCATCTTAATCTTTGAATTATTTCTTCCGTTTGATTTTGTTTTCGTATCAAAACCTTGATTTGTCTCTTTTACTTTGATTTTTCTTGCTCAAATGAGTAAGAAAAAAAACGACATGGTTCCACCAAGTCTGAAGAGAAAAATCTCAAATGTTGTGAAAACATTTGTCTATGTCCATTTCTCAAATTGGAGGGTCCTTCAAACAGGTCTTGGGTCCAAGGGCTGTCAGTTCGTCACATCCAATTCATTTTTCTAGTGAGTATGACATTTTATCGTAAACGGACAGAGGCCCAATCCGACCAGCGGCGTGGGTCTCATAAAATTTCTTACTTTATATTAACAAACTACTCTTAAATTCCCCAACAAGGTCATTCCCACGTGGTGCCAAACAACATATTTTTCTCCTGTACATCTTCAACTCCGCAACTTACAACTACTTCCTTGTAGAGCATACACGTAGCTTAATTTTAAACTAACTTTTGCGGTAACATTTTATCGACAATCTTCTTAATCATTATGACCCCCCGGCTACCCCGGTCCATCTGCAGAGTTACATCCACGCGATTCTTGTCCATCCAATCACATGACCACATACAACCAATCTAAACATATCAGCTACTGGAGTCGTCTTCATTCCTGCGTAAAGGGGGGGGGAAATCTTGGGCCTTCTACGTTTCGATTCACTTTTTTTTTTCATTTCAACATAGACAAGACTGAGGATACTTGATGCTGATCACTGATCGACCCCTCGCAGGCAGAAAACGGGTGAATTATTGTTACTCGGCTACAGTTCTCGATGAGAATTCCCTACACACTACAACAGTCGACACAGGGTACAGTTACTTGGCCTTTGATAGATTTGTTAGGGTTTCAATGGGAAAGTTGAGAGTGTAGTGAACTGTTTCTTTTAAAAAGACGAGCAAGTTTAAAGGGGTCGGGCAGCAGTTTCATTAGAAATCGCCGGAATAAACAAAAATCGCGACACTCCTGCAGAGAACACTGAACCTTTCATGGACTACATGGGAAAATCTCAAAAGTGATTTGGGCAATCGGGTGCCTTGCCCGACCCCTTCAAACTTGTTCATCGTTGTCAAACCAGCCTGCAGCAACTGCTGTCTGATTTGGCCCCGGGCTTGAGCGGCGATTCATCTGTATCTGTGCTGCCGATGCGATTCCGCTTTTTCCGGATCTCTTTGTTGCGGCCTTTGGTCGGTTTGGCGGCGGCCGCATTGCTGTTGAGGTCCGGGTCGTTCCTCTCCCCGGCCAGGTTGGAGCTGTCCCTCTTCAGCTGCTTCTTGGCCGGTGAGGAGCCGTTTGGCAGGTTGCTCTTCTCAGCGTCCCTGGGGATGATGTACAGGTTGCTGTCCGAGTGGCTCAGGTTGTCCTTCTTCGGCCACGCCTTGACCGTGCTGTCCGCGCTTGGGTCGTCCGAATCGCTGGGCGTGGTGTTGTTGGGGTCGATGGCGAACTTGCTGATGCTGTAGGAGCTGGAAGAGTTGGACGAGTTCATGCTGAGGTTGCTCTGTTTCAAGCTCTCCCGCAGTTCGTTGCTCTTCTTGCGCTCGTAGGCATTGCCGCCGCCCGGGTTGCTGCTGCTGTGGTTGTCACCACCGGTGCCCCCGCCGGAGCTGTTGGAACCGGTGTACTTCCCCCCTCCGGCGGCGGCGCCAGGCCCGGCGTTGTTGCTGCCTGCCCCGCTGCTGCTACCGCCGTTCGGGGGTCCGTCTTTACTGCCCCGTCGCTGGCCCTTGCTGGGGAGGTCAAACTTCTCTGAGCGCCGGCGAGTCTCGGTGTCCTCGTCGCTGGCGTCCGAGGAGCTGTAGCCACCCCGGGCGGCCACTTTGGTGCTGGGCTTGATCTGGTGGGGCGTGTCCTTGGAAGGGAGGGTCTTACGATGGCGGATCTGACGGGTTACGAAGGGGCGGTCCAACCCTCCCGATTTCTCATCATCGGACTCCTGCTCGTCTGTCCAAAAAACCGAAGAGGACAAGTTAAAACTTTGCCAATTTGGCTCTTGTAGTAACAAGTTTTTAGGAAAGAGATTAACAGAGAAAAGGGACTGTCAATCAACCTTCTCTGTCCCTGATCTGCACATCCCTACTTCAGTAATCCTAGAGGTCATGAACAGACTCCTAAAAATAAAATTCAGCACTCCCATTGTCATGTAGACCAAAACGTATTTTCTACGGCTTTAAATTTTGCCAGAAGAATACTGGTGCAATGGAATGGGAGAAAATTCAGGAGTAGGATTAAAACAATAAATAAATACATAAATAAATAACGTTGCAAGAAGGAAACTGGTCAGAGCAAACATATTGCATATAGTGCGGTCACAAGAAACACCAGCAGCGGCCAAACCCAATCAGAACTTGGGCACAGCAAATTCTCTCCGGTGAAGTTAGAACCGTCAAAGAGTTGGTGTTCGATTCCAAACGCAGGAAGAAACCAACTGAATATCAACCTCAAGAGAGTGACGGCCAGATCTGAGAAGGCAGAATGTCGGTTCCCACATTTCTGTGAGATGATTCTACCTAATATTTCGTAACAGTTTGCGAGACAGGTGTAAACCTGTTTGTAGGGTTTCTTTCTCAGATAACACTGGGTATCTCGTCACTCGACAAGAAAATAATGAGACAACAATTCCAAGCTCCATTTCTCTCGAGTCAAGTCTGATTTTGTTTAAGAGAAGTTTTCCCTTATATAAATACAACCAGATTGACAAAGTGGAGCTTCCCGTGAATGAACGGCGGCACACTAGTATTAAAAAAAAAAGCAAGAATGAAGGGGTGAGACTGTGAGTTAATAAAGCAACACAGATGCAAGCAAGTGAAATGAGACCAAATCTACACGACACAGCCAGTGCAAGCGACCCAGCCTGAAGGCATGACAGTCCTGGGATACAGGTACTTGGTAGTGACACGCACGTGCAATATGCGAAGGCTACTAGTACCCGTTTCTACGTGTATATCCTCGGGGAATTTTTTCAAAAGTGTGTTGAAAATTTCAGTTTGAGAGGAAATTCAGTCCTCTTGGAAAGGAAAAAAAAAAAGTGTCGTAATCTGGCTTTTTCTTTCTTATTCTTGAACCGTTATGTACATGTCCTGAAAGCATTGAATTGTCCGTGGGCTACAACTATGGCTGAGTTCGGGCAGCTTGCTCTCGTTTTTGTTCAGAACGGCTTGATTTGTTGTTCGTGGGTCAGTCGCTCAAACACCGGGAATGTACAACCGGTTATAAGTGCTAGTAGTGACTTGTGGCAAGCAACATGCAACATGGCAATGTCCTTGTGCAGTCTTCAAGAGTTGATGTTGGATAACTGGGCTTCCTTCTTTTCCATTTAAAAAATTCATTTCTGTCATGGAAAATTATTAATGTTAATTTTGCAGAACTTTCCATTGTCTGCGGCTTTTCAAAGCCATATCGGTACTTTTTGCGGCTGTTCAAAAATCAAATCTCACGAGTTTTTCTGTGTGTTCGTGTGAAATCCTGTCGAGGGGGTGGTGAGTGATCCTGTTCCGAGAACAGTGTTCTTCGGTCGTGTTCCCACCGTTTGAGCGCGAGAACACGAAACCCGTGTCAGGAACGGACCGCCCAAACTCGACCTATAGGTCATAAGTGTTTAACGTGTAGTGATTGGATAGTTCTGGGCGCAACACTGACATGGACAAAAACCACTGACAATACTGCGAGGACACGCACAGAGAACTGCACACTGCAAAATAAGAAAGACACGGGGGGTGCTGGCGGGCAAAGCGCTGGGTGCTTTGGGCCAAAAAGAAATCCCGACTGACTCTGCTGCAACCACGACAACCGCCGGGCGGGAAGGAACTGGGGGGGGGGGAAATCTAACATCGATTTGCCAATTCGTAGTTGTGTCTCTGGCGGAAGGCTTCTGAGTATGCTCATTACTGTCTTTCTCTACCCAACTGCAAATGAATTTGACATTGCTCGTGAGTTGAGATTACGACCCCGAAGATGACATCACACAACGGTGACCAATCGCAGGGACCCATCGAGAGGTTTAGCAAAAGTTTAGATTCACCAAGGTTTTTTTATCTGACACATTGGATTATTTTTTTCGATGCCACATTGTTTTGAACTTAGCAATTTTTTTTAAGCTTTCTATACGGGCATGTCACTGTAAAGTCTGAGGTTTATCTTTAAAACCAAAGTCCCCCCCCCGTAGTTTATGACTTTCTCCGCCCTACCCCAATTCTCTGGGGGACATTTCTGCAAGCATCAAGCAGCGGCTGGGCCATACACACCTTCTTCCTCAGTAATCTGATTCAGGACGGTCGGGTTGAGTCTCGTGGCCGGATTGTTGGGCCGGGCGTTGGCCCCTTGCGGACGGCGGGCCTTTCCCCATGAGCCATCTGACGGCGACGACCCTGCTGCTGTGGCGGCCGATGATGGCGAAACCAAAGACTCCGTGGTCAACTCCATTTCCTCGTCGGCAATGTGCTGGAACTCTTCCTCCTGATTCCCAGTTTGGTTTTGGAATTTTTTTGGGTAAACGTTTGCGCCGAGTTCCGGAAGGAAATAAGCAAAAGGGGGCGAACAAAAGCATGGAAGTATGGATGTGAAAATGTTTGAAGAGAACATTTATCTGGTCTTAAGTTTCACCCAGTTCTTTGACTAATACAGTTTAATGCAAGTAAGATCATTTGGAAGTAAGAAGCGTCCACCGCAGCGAGATTTTGGACGAACTGGCAAAAAAAAAAAAAAAGCACCGAGACACAATCAACTAGGAGCCAACTTATGCCCAACTGAGAACTTCAACGGCACTCACAACAGCTTGGGACAATTTGGACACTGTCTGACTAAAAATGATGCATCTACTCTATCTACTAATGGCCGCTTGAACTGAGAAAAGGCAGGGGGGGGAGGTTGAGTGACTGAGGGAAGGGGTTGGGGGTTGAAGAAGTGGCATGCGTCGTCAATACAAGGTGGCAATCACGGCAGTGTAGGAGAGAACTAGGGTGGGGTTAAGTTAGGGACAGGGTGGCGACAACGGCGGAGTGTTCCAACGGAGCGATTCCATGGGGGAGGGGGGAGCACTTACTTCCAGCGACTGCAACCCCTCCTTGACGATGCTCCGCCCGTGGCGTGGGTGAATGGTCAGATGTTCCCGCTCCATCCGGTGGCGCCGCGGGCTGCAGGAGACCTCCTCCTCCGAGCTGGAGCGGGCCAGGGCAGGCGAGACGGCCAACGGGGGTGTGGGAATGGGGATGGGCGTGGCAGCGGGCGACGGCTGGGCGGCGACGGGTGAGCAGAGGTGGCCGATGTTGTTGTTGATGGGCTTTTCCAAGGTTGGATGGTCCGGGAGTGGAGTCCTGAGGCAAAGGAAGGAAAACATTAAATAACGAGAAATCAAAAGATCTCCTTAGGGAGTTTCCAAGCATTTCAAACCCCTAAACTGTTCAAATGTGATACTTTTTGTTTACATACAATGTATATGGGATAAAGATCTACTGACTTGTTTCCAACAATACTTTTAGCTTTAAGTTCAAAGATAAAGATTCTCCACTTCGTACTCTGTTTAGGTGAATAGTAATACACCCATTCATTTAGTTAAAGCATTGGTCCAAACCAATGCAATGTAGGGATCATGTGAAAACTCACAATCCACAATATGACTCCTACTTCCACTGCAATTTCTATCAAGGAGGAAAACTCCTTAAAACGTTGGTTTAAAGTTAAGGCACCCTACGCCGACTGTCGGGGAAAACAAATCCAGGTTTGTAATACTCTTAAGCAATGTGGTAATCGTGTACTTTTGGGGTGTCAAGTTTCTGTGCAAAATATTGAACTAGTTAGGAGGGAACAACGCTAGAGAGCAATGGAAAAATACAGAAGCTGCTCAAAAGCACTTTTTAAAATTAAAGGTAATCTTTATTAAAGAGTCATGTTCAAAAGTCATCATTTTGGGGGGCAATCTTACCTTTGTGAATTGACCATCTAATGCCCACGTTCTTCAACTTTATACCTTCCTAACTAGGTCACTGTTTGGTAAAGAACTTGATACTCGATTCAGTATTTGACTACAACACTGCCGCTAAGACGGGCAGACTTTCTGAAGATGGTGTGCATCCTGACTGTAGAGAGCTTGATACAATGATGTGAGTCTTTTAAAGAAAAAAAAAAAACCAGGCTGGAGGGATGATCATCCACGACGATCAACCGTTCCGAGCCTGTGGCATTTCCCACCCCTATTTCTCCTTCCTCACCTTGGGGAGAGAGCCAAGGAGGCGAGCTGGGGCTGGACGGCCGAGTGCCTCCTCAGGCTGTTGTCCTCCGTCGTCAGATCCCCCACCTGCTTCTTGAGCTTGCGCTCGGCCAGGAGGAAGTAGGTGGCGGTGATGTGGTCGTAGCTGTCACTTTCTAGGGACCTGGACGGAGGGGACAGAGAGGGAATGGAATCATGATCCGACTTGAAGATTCGTTTGCCTCACTGGACTTCTCGTCGGCAGTTGGACATCATCTTTCTGTGGCTTAGCAATGTCGCTGCAGCATCGTCTGCTTGAAATCACTGCATACAGTGTTCGGCCACTGATCTGCACATGACCAGCCCTGATGTCGCAAGTCTAAATGGGGCAGACTGTTAGCATGGGCAGAAACAGTTTCCAATGGCTCCCCAAAAATTGTCATTAGATAAATCATGCACTCCCCCTTAAACTCGAAATTACTGAATGCATTTTTCCTCTAACCTTCACTTCCTTGTGCGCACAGGCCAAAGAATCAACTGATTAACTTATTAAGTCACTGGCAATGTTTTTAAGGTATTTATTATTATTATTTATTACGGGCACATGTACATGTGCCCGTACAGTACACAAATGTTGTTTACAAGTTACAAAAAATGCTGAAAACACTTTTGAAGCTTCCTGAAATTTTTTTGCCCTTCAAAGAGTACAGGAAACACGGTGCTGATTCAAAGAGACTTTTATAAGTCTGAGGTGTTGGACCTCAACAAAATTGAAGCAAACAGGATTAAACATGGTTTATAAGACGAGTATGAATTCAGGGTTAGAACCCTTTTTAAGAAAGTCTTACGCACTATTCTGAATTTGGAAAAGGTTCTTTCTGCACATTTAAAAAGGGATTTGACATTGGATGAATTGCATAAACAACGGAAACCGCTGTCCCTCGACAATCCCTGTGCTACAAATAATGCGATGACCTTCGGCAGAACACGTCTCGCGCACCAGCAAGGCAGGTGGCCAAACCCTGGAAACGACAACAGTCAATTCCTGTTTCACTTCCTGATCAGGGGCTCAATGTCATGTCATGGTATTTGCACGGTATCGTTCGTCCGTGCAGGTATGCACAATGCATGGATTCGAGGACTACATGCTTTATTCCCCGAACCAAACTAACCACAATTGATGTTTTACGTATGTTTTACGTTTAAACCCACAGAGGGGCGAGATAAAGATTGTAAGATTTCTTTTTTTTTAACTGCTACGGCATATTCGAAATCCCTCAAACTGAGACTTGGGGCTAGTTGTGAGGTAATTCTGCCTTTGGTTTTTGCATTAACTGGGCAAACTAACTCCAACGAGGCTCTGGCCACTTGGGACTCATTTGACTTGCCCGGGTTGCAAATCACATCAAAGTTTTGGTCTAAATGCATGGCAACTGACTTCCAAATCATTTTTTTTGCATTTCTGCAGTGCATCAATGTAGTTCTTCCCCCCTCCCATGACATGAACATGGTATTGTAAGTTCCTGGACAGAACCATTATAGGAACTCACCGATGTAGTCCCTTTCCTGCATCTAAACAATTTTCTTTTCCCCTGCCCATATTACACTGCACTTTTACAAAAAGTCATTCTTTTTTCCAAGCACAAACTGCAGCCAAGGTCTACGTGTGAATGTTAAACTAATCTAATCAGCTGTGAATACTAATTGTAATTTCAATACTCTCCTTCCTGTCAGGTTTCCTGGCGGCCAGATGCTTTTGTCTCTTCCAAGGAAGTACCCCCTCTGTTGACTTCCACTTGCCAGTTTTTATCAGCTGATGTTTACCATGTACTGACATTACATGGATGTGTGTGAACACGTACTGTACATGTACATGTGTTCTGGTCTAACAGTTCCCAGAATTTTACGCCGAAATCTGTTCTGAGAAATATTCAATGCAGATGTTCCCAAGTATACTTTTGCCTACCGGTACACGTGCTCATGACATAAGCAAGTGGACGATGTCTGCATTACAACAGAGAGATCTAATAGCCTTTGACATTAACAATTTTTGGCTCATGTATTCTGGTAGTTTCTCAAGAATTGATGCATTCTCTACATGATGATGCTCCATAGATATGATCGCATCTTTCCCACACTCATCTCTTGTTCTAACAGGATTTGCATGTAAGCGCCGAATCACATTATGGCCAGAACCTTGGACAGGAAGAGACAGACAATGAAGAGCAAAAGAACTCAAGAGACTGGGACCCTCAGAATTTGCTCTTTATAAATTTGTCATATTGAGAAAAGTGGGACCCCAGGAAAATCAATTAATGAAGGAAATGTTTGTGTTTCCTTCTGTATATTGGGTGTGTATATTTAAAGAAAACAGAAACCTCAAAGATAGATAAATTAATGCAAAGCAAACTGTGACCAACTTTTCAGAAAGCGGAAGATTAGACTGAGAAAATCACCTTGGAAAGTGGCATTTTCGTTATTGTGTCCATTTACATGTACAATACTGCACCATGTGCCTGTGAGTAATAAATGTTATGGGTCTGTACTCATTCCGTCGAAAATTACTTTCCTGCACTTTGCACCGCCAGCATTCAAACATAAATAAATGCATGGGGCCCATGGGATGTCACTGCTCTGTAGCAAAGCGCCCTCTCTTGTTCACAAAGGAAAAGTCCATGAGAGCCTTTTATCAGCTTGTGACTTTTGATATGGAAGGTGTCCGGAAGACAAAAGCGGTTTTTACCTTCCACATGGTGTGGAAGCCTGAACTATGAACGGTTTCAGGATACAGTGGCAGTGGTGTCAATCCATGTAGGATTAATGATACAGGGGCATTCTTTTGAGCTTTTACGCGCATGTACCTCGGTTTGTAGGTAACCTTAAAGTATGAGTTTGTTTGTGTTTCTCATCTCCAGTAAGTAGAGAAATGACCAACTGGCCTATCAAACCTTGGTCAAAAGGGGGCGGATATACCCCACCCACCCCAAAAAAACCCACCCACAAAAAACCCCACCCCGGTGCTTACTTCATGATGGTAGTCCGGTCGGCGATATTCCCGCTGATCATTCTCTCCATGATGCTCTCGTGCACGCTGTCCGTGATGTCGTGCCTGGTTATGAGCGGCTCCATCTGCTTAGCTGCACCCCCTTGCTTCAGCCAAGCACTGTTCACGATCTGCTCCAGGGTTAGTCTCTTCTCAGGGTCTCGCTGTAGCATGCTGGAGATGAGACTGACCAGTAAAGACAAACGAAGCCTGTCAGAATCCAGCAACCATGAATATTGTGGCAGAATCTGAAAAGTACAGTTTTATGTCCGGGGAGGGGGTAGGTATAATGAAAATGAATATCTTGACTTGATAACAAATTTTATAATTTTTCTCTAAACCTATCACAAATTGTCCCCAAATTTTCAAAAACTTACTCATCTCCCAAATAAGACTTTTCCTTTTTTCTCAAATCTTTTGAAAAACAGATAAACATTAATTACACGGTTTTAGTTTGGAGCTTTTGTACATGTAAAGACCTTGCTCACTGGTTTCCAACATATTCTTCATTACATTCAACTGATCACTACAGCTGGTAACCGTCTCACCAAACACATTGTTGTGTATCCAAGCAACAACATGACACTGAGGATTTATGACAGATGTAACCCAGAGAATGTTGTAGGCCTGTGCCGGGTACCCGGGCACCCGCCCATCAATCTCAAAACTGGTTCCATTTTTTGGGCCGGGTATCCATTGAAAAAATTCTACACACAAAATGCATGAAACCTTTAATGGTGAAGGGTAGAATTGCTGAAAAAACATCGTGCTGCTGAAAAACCCAGTCCCGAGGGAATAATGGTAACAAGTTTGTTGAATAAAATGGTGGGGGTGATTCCCTTCTAATTAGAAGCAATGTACTGCTTCCTACGTATGAAAACAGAGCCCTGTTTCAGGCACACGGTCCACCGGGGTTTTGCACAATGCCGTTTATTAAGTATTCCTTATATTCTAAGGGTACCCGGATACCCAGTATTTGACATAAAACAAATACCCAGTTCTCAAAATACCCGTAAGCGCACACCCCTAAAATTTTTCACACCCAAAAGAGGACGGTGTTGGCAAAATAAAATATTTAAAGACAAATAAATGACCGAGAGTAGTACAGCACATGTCTAAAAAAAAAAAAAAAATGGCCCTGAACAAAAATGGACAATATGGAATAAGAATCTGGCTTCTATTTGTCTTCAATAATCCAAACATCTCCTGGACAGCGTCGGCTCTATTTCATATCAAATACTTTAAATTATCCCATAGTGTCTGTCTGCCAGGCAACAGACCGTAACCGGCGTGTTGAAACGGACACCCTTCATTCAATTTTCCTCGCAATCAGATCATTTACTGACGATGCTGTTTAATAAATGAACGGTACAGTCACGCGCCAATAGCCACACGCCCACTCACAACGCACAGTGTTCTTTTTTTCCCCTAGGTGTTGCACTTTCATGTTTCAAGCACTGTACAGCATCGGGCATAGACGTGAAAGGGATTGGTAAATACCAATGTGGGGTTTCTGTCAAGGTCGTAATGAGTCGGGCGGCCGGCGGCTGGGTCATAAGAGGCCTGTTTGTTTGGTGTGGGTCCAGATCGTGATCAGTGATCCAACATTGGTTCACTGACACCAGAACCCACCTGACTGATAGAGGGAAACCAACTTTGGGATCAAGCAAAAAGGCACCCAGTGTCAAAATCACCTACATGATCTGTGGATTGATGGGAGACAACCTTCAATTTCAACAATTTTTTTTTTCTTTGCAAATTTTAAGTTTGTTGATGAAGGTGGGGCACTGTTGCAGAATTACAGATATCTGAAGAAATCAACGACCAATAACTAGCAAAAAGATGAGAACGGGGAGGTCAGCCAGGTTCTTGTCCGGCACCTGAAATGGAAGCATGAGAGGCCAAAATATACCTTGTTGGGGCCTGAAATGGAGGCCAGAGAAGCCCAAATATACCTTGTTGGGGCCTGAAACGGAGGCCAGAGAAGCCAAAATATACCTTTGTTGGGGCCTGAAATTAGCCCAAAATTGCAAGTAAAAATGAGTGAAACCAGGCTACTGTATTGCATGAAACTGGCATCCCTGAAAGAAGTAACTAATCCCCCAACCCCATCCTGGAATATACATGTAGCCTTTGTTACAACACACTAATAGAGCTTTCCGCTAACTTGAGGGGGGCAGACAAAAGGTGGGGGAGGGCAGAGCAGGACGAACAAAATACAGATACTGCTGTAGAGCAAGCCCTGGCAGCGATGATGTTGACTTGATCGGTTGGTAGCGTGATGCTCACGGCGCTGTGTAACGCAACCTCTTCCTCAAATCAACATCGTACCCTCGTTTCTTTTTTTTCCCCCACCAAAGTTTCAATTTTTTTCCATTTTTTCAGGCAAGCACAAGAGGAGAGACTTTTTTACTGTATTGCTGTTAAAAATCAAAACAAATTAATTCTGGAAAAGACTGTCCGCCCGTTCTTGGCGGTGGCGGCGTAGGGGAAAGGGGAAGGACGCCGATACCCTGCTCGTTATCACAACATCAAGCACTGGTTTCTCAGTCTTCCAAAAAAAAAAAAATGTGTCTGGTTTCACTGTGAGGTTTCCCATCTATTTTCAGCGCTCGCTGAAGTTGGACTCCTTCGGTCAACCGTATGCCTTCACCACAGCGACATGGACAGATTCTCGCCTCAATTTAATGTAAGGCCTACATATATGTCAACACATGAACATCCTCCTGGCAACTTTGCATGAGAATGAAACCCAAAGATTTTGGTAAGGGTTTCCTGTTTACTGCTTGAGTGCATGTAAAGTTTCTCTAAAAAGTAAATATGAGGTATAAACAGAGCAACAAAACTACTATCTCCCCCCCCCGGGTGTGCAAAAAAAACTGTCATCAAATTGGAAGACCATTTGGGATTTGTTAATGAAAGTCCTAAACACGTTGGTTTTTTTTTTCCATACAGGTACCGATAAACTACTAAAGCTTTATAGAGAGACACTTTATAGAGAGAGCCATCAAAGGTCCAGTCTGTAGACCATAAAGCAGCCATAAACCGGAATTGATGGGCAAGGAAAAATAACAATGCCCAAGACGCCTTTTTCAAAATCCTTGAACTCTGTTCTCCTCTTTTCCTGGAGAAATGTTCCCTCACAGTGTGGGCTTCTTACGCCTTCAAGAAAAAAACAAACAAAAACCGGCGCAGCTTCAGACGATGCACTGGGCCGATTACGCATACGGGGGGGGAAAATGCAGACAGACGACGGTGGGACGTGCGCCGATTGTTATCGTTCGGCGTTCGCTACCTCGCCAGTTGCCATCTGCTGGCACTTGAGACGAGAAGGAGAAGGAAGAACACAAAATCTATCACTCGGGCTGACGCTTGAAAACGCTGCCAGTTTGGCTCCCGCGCTACGTCATTTATTATTTCGGGAAGTGCCAGAAGGAAAGAAGTGTGATGCCCTTGATGCCTTGTGACCAAGAGAGTCAAAGAAGATGGAAAGAAGAAACATGACGGGAAATCTTTGTAAGGGCGGGGCGGGGGGGGGGGGTGGACTTACTTCTTACAGTCTTCTGAGATGTGATCGGGCAGGAAATATTTACAGTCCATGATCATCGTCAGTGTCTCGCTGTCGTTTGTCTCATTGAAGGGGGGCTCTCCGCATACTAGCATGTAGAGCAGAACTCCTAGACTCCACACGTCTGCAGGGGGAAAGAGAAATGCATGGAAGTCATCTTAAGGTGTGGGGATATCGCGTTTTAAGCATCCAGTCTGGGTGATTATGCAGACTCGGGCTGCAATTCTCAGGATTGGGACCCGCAGATATTTCAACTTCAATAGAAAAATCGAATCAAAACTCAACTAGACTGATGTTAATCATCCACTGTGAACAGGTGTTCAAAAATGAACCAGACTGAAGAATCGTGGATGATTTATCTTGAATTTTTGCCAAAGCCAAAATCTTTACGAGCACCTCGGCCTACTTAAAAACACCATTTCCTCCATTTGCCATGATCTTAGATGCTGTACAGGTTTGTATCTGCAGCAAATTGCCAAGGCAGGTGACAAATCTCGCTTTAACAAGGAGGGCTTTTGCCAGCGGCGCTGCGCGTACTTCCAACGCGTTAAATATTTAAGCACCCTGTCTCAAGTCGATAATGACTAATGGAAAAAGCACTAGCACAAGTTTGTCTCTTGGGCATTCCAAGGGGGACCACACCTATCCCCCACCCAGAAAAATATCTGAATAATGTAACAGGAGACACAGAGGAGAAAAGGGGAAAGACAGGGAGACGGTGAGTGAAAATTGCTAATTTGATTCAAAATACCTTGCAATATAAAGCTTTTCTGTTCCCTGCTCATGAGTCCTGTTTTAACCCCCCCCCCAAAAAAAGGCAACACCCACCATTTGTTTACAGGTAAAATGTACTATTTTTCTGATTCTACTGTTGTTAACAGGTTTAGGTATTTCAGAGAAATGAATGTGAGGACACTATGTTTACACCGACATTCGATTTTTGTTTACATGACATCTTTCTAACCGCACGATTTTGATTCATGTTTGTTATGCATGTACGCATGTACACGGGCGTGTCATTTTTCCTTTGGGTTTTTATTTTTTACCAATTTTTTTGGGGGGTTGTCTCCGAGTTACGAAAGCAAGATCATTCATGTGTGCCACAAAGATGACACGAATTCATTCAGACCACATCGGCCTTTCCCTGGTTCTCCCCCTCCCCACACAAATCCTTCAAGGAACAAGATTAAATATCTCGGTGATGTACGACATGACAGGCCCTGCCAGCGATAAGGAGATGAATTATTGAGATTGGGAATGAGGGAGTGGGGGGGAAGGGGGTTGCTGGTCGGCGACGGGAGGAAGAGGACAAGTCCAGCATGCAGGATGCCTGTCCAGGGCCACGCTCTGCCGAGCGGAAAAATGTCTGGCTGCCTCAAGCGGGGGATTTGACATCACCTGAAACAACACTGCATCGGAACTGCAGAGATTCAGAATCCCCCCCCCTCAAAAAAAGTCTTCTGATCATGAATATCTGAAAGACGGAGTGATAAATTTTTTGCATCCAAATTACATGTACCTGTTATTTCCTTCAACAGAATTGATAGTTTGATGCATATATTTATTATCATTTTTAACAGCTTCATTCACCAGAGGCGTTATGCTAAATATTAAACGTGCTAATAACATGTGATTTTTGAAAAACATATCAAATGTCTCGACGGATTTGTCCCTGTAGCATACAAACTCCAATGCCAAGGATGCGTAGGCAGGTAATTGAAAACTCTTTACTGACTGGAAAGCAAGCCCATGTTCATTCTGCAGTTCTGTACACGTTATGGAGGGCCGATACAATTTTCCCTTGGACTCTGCTTTAAAAAACAAACAATTCATCGACACAATTTCTGATTACAGTTCCTCCGGCAGACCTATTAATAGTACGTGTCCTGATTAGACCACGCTCAGGGTAAATTTCAAGAATGTCTCCGTCTGGGGTAACAAGGCTGCCCGTGACTGTGACACTCTGGGCAGCCTTGCTGGCGCATGTAAGCACGCCCACCCGAAGGGGGAGAGGAGATTGGAGTGGGTGCCATAAATTACTCAAATTAGCATCCCCCGCTCAAACCTGCGTGGACAGCACCATCCACATGTATGGTTCATGTACAGTCCGTCTAGCTCTACCGCTAGTGACTCTTTGCTCGTCTTGCCCTGGGGGGCAGGGCGACCTGAATTTCTCAATTTTATGTGCTTACAAAATACACTCTGCAGAAACGAATTTATAATGTACTGGAACATGTTCAATGCACATACATGTACATATACATCGTAAGTGTATGTGGTGTGTAACGAGTAGATCAGGGATGTGAGAATTCCGCCGATCACAACATTTTGTTGGATTTTTTACTCTGAATACATTTTTTTCTCTACAAAACTCTGCAAAATTTTGAATTTCAACTTGTTGCCGCTGTAGCTTTTTTTCAGCTTTTTTGTAAGTGGCCTAGCAGACCCCTGTAGGTGCAGAGCAATGCATCTGGTGTACAGTTTATACGCTGCTCTGGAGATGTGTACATACATGTACAATATTCATTTACAGTGTATCTACACATACAATTATGTTTTGGATCTGCACAGAATGACAAGTGCATGAACTGAGGTCTCATGTTTTATGTCCAGGTGCACTGTAGTTGCCTATGAAATGTAATTTCGGAGCCTCATTTCAGGGCGTCATTCTACAAAGCAGCGATGAGCTTTCGCGTAGAGGAAACTCGCTGCATGCGTGCGAGTTCAAGCCCGTGAGTGCGGAATGCGCCGTGGACGGCGCAACCAATTCCAACTTGACTGGTTGGTTTGCACACGTACGCCTGGCGCGTGCACTCATGAGTCCAGTTGAAAAGCTTCCCACCAACCCCTTTCCTCTTCGCCAATGAGGGCGCACTGAAACCTTACATATAATAGCGAAATTGAGAGACGAATGCTGTGCAGTGGAAATCCTTTCAGTTATTATAATTTGACACACCCCGAGGGGCTAGGGTAAACAAAAGCAAACCCCATTGCCAAACTCTGTGCAAAATAGTCATTCCAGTGGCGTACATAAATTAGATAAATGTCGGGCAAAACATCTGTAACCCATTCCCTTTTTACCATCGATCTTTTTAAGATGGTGGGGGACTTTATTTCATCCTGCTACAAGTCTTGACATAATGCAATGTACCTTTGCCCTAAGGTTGGTGGCAAGACAGGACAACTTCATCAAAACACCTCTTTCAAATGCATAAGAAACCTACACCACAAATATCCCATCAGAAATAACAAACAACCAGAGCAGAATTTTAAAAAAAGAGGGAGCAAGTAGGAAGATAAGACATGTAAATTCCTGCAATATTACGTATGCTGAGGTGATGTGTGGGCAGGAACAACAATTGTGAAAGGTCTGTGCCTCCGTGAAATGTGAAGGTTGTTACTCCGTAGCTATTCCACCCACTCCTCTTTTCAAAGTTTCATTTTTATCCCCACAAAATTCCTGAGCTGTAAAATAAATCCTTTGGTGTACAAGTTTAATTCTTTCTTTCTTTATATCATATAATTATCTATAATCAATACTTTGGATACACTCATGTAGTGTGTGAAGCTTAAAATCCAGGAGAGTTTTTTCTACTCTCTCTTTAAAATCAAAAAATTTTGCTTTCGCATTCACCAGACAGACCTTGACGCTGGGACTATTTACCCAACCCTTTCTAAATTCCTCACATACAAGTATGCACCAGGATACTTTCTGGGATTTCCCCGGCTTGAGGGAGGTCAGGCCCAGGCCTTGCTTTTTTATAATTATAACATGCTTGGTGCCCCTTGAAATTCAGAGAGGAAGGAGAGTATCGTTTGTTCTTCCTCCAAACCGAGCTGATGTTCGAGGAAGCTTCCCCGGGCGAATAACATGTCAGCTAAGAGGACTGGAGTTGATTTTTCTGTTCCCCGAATTCTGTGCTCCTAGGGAGGGTAAACACTCACATCAGTTTTGTGTGGTTTCTCTTTGAGTACACTGGTGCAAGTATGTTCTTCAAGCTTTGCAAGCATTGGAATCCCAGATTTGGTTACATCACGTCCTCCTGGAGCCATGGGATGATCTGTTTTTTTATACTTGGCATATTTGAGGCATGTGCACGTCCGCACAAAAAAATTCTCAAGGAAAGTCAGCAACAAAGAAATTGTTTAACCTTTATTTATAACAACTCTTGGCTTCCACGTCATTACCGAATCATAATTCATTAACTTTTTCACTGATATTACAGGATTCAAAATCAAAGAAAAGAGGCAAGATGCATTAAAATCCTGAATTGTAAGGAAGCAGAGCTGTCATTCCAATCCCTCCAAGTCTATTTGATTTTTTCTTTTTAACTGGCTTCCACACCCTAAACAAACCCAAACCAAATTAAGTGAGCCAAATGTACACGAGAGCAATGCACCAATGGTTGAGTGGCACAGAAATGAAAACGTTCCGCTTTCTGGCCGCACCAAAAAAAAAGAAGAAAAAAAATAACAAAAATCTTGTCAATTGTCAATAGCTTTTGAGTACAGCACCACGCTGCATCGTCGGTGGCGGTTCTAGACAAACAACAAGTCGGGGGGCTTGTTTTTCACCGAGAGATGAGGAGATCCTCACAAGTCCTGCCTTGGGGAAAACCTCGGTCAGTGGCTCGACTCAGCCAGGATTTTTACCTTGCCAGCCATCGGCAGAGCCCCCCCCTCCTTCCCCAACCACTGCAGAGCACCTAGACGAATGACGTCAATGCTGTCCTTTCGTAGGCTATGGAAATGAACGAGAAGGGGAAAAAAAACACACCTGGAACTGAAGGTCTCTACCGCGCACTAAAAAAAAAATACAATCAATTTAAATCTGGAAACCTGCATGGGTTTTTTTTTTTTTAAACTTCTATATTTGTTTCTCCTAAATCTTTCTGAGTTGTTAACATCCAGGGATTTGGGGTTTTGTTTTTTTTCTCTTAGGGAGAAGAGTACCAGGGTTTTGAAAACTGAGATTGAATAAATGTCCACGGTAAATACAGAAATGCTGGAGACAAATAAAAATTGCGCTAAAAGACTGCTCCGGGTGGGGTGACGGCATGCGGTCGAGAAGATTGCATATAAGGGGTCTGCAAATAAACATGCTGCTCCGGCGGCGTGATTGCC